CTTACTGTTTATATAATGGTAGAGCAGTTAAAATAAGGGTTTAAATTGCTTAGATGAGAAAAGGTTTGGCTAGCAAGGCTAAAAGGTTTGCAAACAACAATTTTGATCGAAGGATATGCATGCAATAGAATATCCTTGTCAAAGTCTAAATAAATATAGAGATTTTTGACAGAGCAGCCAGACAACAAGGTTTTCCATATGAGTCCAGAGGGAAAAGTGATCATTCAGTCAGAACAGTCATCTCGTGCTAAACTCTTGCCGTGATTTCTGCAGTTTATTATTTCAGAGCACCTCAGACAAGCTATTTTCACCCGTTGTAGTATTTTGTTTTATGTGTTTTATCATTTGTTTATGCAATACGTGACGTTTGAATTTAATTAACACCATAGAGCCTCCCATGTTTAAAAGAGTAGCAGCTGAACTCCAACCATTGCGCTTTGTTGCTAAATGAATAAATCAGTAGAATTAAGAAGTTTTGCACATAAAGTACAGAGTGGTCTGAGAAATGTATATATATATATATATATAAGGTCCAAGTTTCTGCTCTAGTCCATGTATGTAAAAACAAAACATCCCATACAAACAAACGCCTTGCCTTATATTTGAGAAGTATAGTTTATATTTGAGAATTAGAGTGTTCAAAAGCCCGCGTTAAACCCATCTTAACTCACCTTTAGTTGTCTGGTTGTGTTGAGCTTTTATTTTGAAGGTAAAAATTATAAATACCCAGCTTTGTTTGCCTGCTTTCACTCTAACTGTTAGCCTCCACAGCCACAGTCCAGCCTTTAGGATCCTTCTTCCATATGCAATAAAGTTTAATTTCTCCCCTTCATCCACTCAGCTACACAGATACTCTGTACAGTCCCACACAAAGGCATGAAAAATCCTTTGTCACAATGCAGAAGCAATGTGACACTTAGATACACTTATTTCAACACTTCCTGAAAGCGAGCAAGCTGACTTTCAGAGCATAACCTACAGAATCCAGCTGATCGATATCTTCTACTAACTGATGGGTGACTGTGAGCTACTTAGCTTTGAGGATCAGCACAACAAAGGCAGAGTCTGGTGACCAGACTTGGTTATAAGTTTAACTGTGTGAGGTTTGAGGCATGAAACTGCAGTACATGATGGAAAGTGGGTTTTTTTCTCTTCCACAAGGCTTAATTGCACCTTGTGACTTCTGTCATTTGACTCGGTCATTTTCTTCTATATATGCGGTATGACACAACTTAAATGCTGACCGCCCCAAATGACCTTGTTTACCAGAAAACTTTAAATTTATTCATTTTTGAATGTTATTTCACTAGACTGTGTAGTTAGGATTTCATATATACAGGTTATTCTCAAAATATTAGCATATTGTGATAAAGTTCATTATTCTCCATAATGTAATGATAAAACTTGAACATTCATATATTTTAGATTCATTGCATACTAACTGAAATATTTCAGGTATTTTATTGTCTTAATACGGATGATTTTGGCATACAGCTCATGAAAACCCAAAATTCCTATCTCACAAAATTAGCATAACATGAAAAAGGTCTCTAAAAGAGCTATGCACCTAATCATCTGAATCAACAAATTAACTCTAAACATCTGCAAAAGATTCCTGAGTCCTTTAAAACTCCCAGCCCAGTTTATCACTTAATACCCCAATCATGGGTAAGACTGCTGAGCTGACTGTTGTCCAGAAGGCCATAATTAACAGCCTCAAGCAAGAGGGTATGACACAGAAATGTATTTCTGTACGAATAGGCTGTTCCCAGAGTGCTGTATCAAGGCACCTCAGTGGGAAGTCTGTTGGAAGGAAAAAGTGTGGCCGAAAACGCTGCACAACCAGAAGAGGTGACTGGATCCTGAGGAAGATTGTGGAGAAGGGCCGATTCCAGACCTTGGGGGACTTGCGGAAGCAGTGGACTGAGTCTGGAGTAGAAACATCCAGAGCCACCGTGCACAGGTGTGTGCAGGAAATGGGCTACAGGTGCCGCATTCCCCAGGTCAAGCCACTTTTGAACCAGAAACAGCTGCAGAGGCGTCTGACCTGGTCTACAAAGAAGCAGTACTGGACTGTTGCTCAGTTTTGCATCTCATTTTGAAATCAAGGTGCCAGAGCCTGGAGGAAGACTGGGGAGAAAGTAATGCCAAAATGCCAGAAGTCCAGTGTCAGGTACCCACAGCTAGTGATGGTCTGGGGTGCCATGTCAGCTGCTGGTGTTGGTTTATCAAGGGCTGGGTCAACTGTCTTTTTTTCTCAGGTTAATTACTACAAGCATCTTTGTAGCAGTTGTATGCATTTAACCTTTTCACATGCATGCATGCACATGGCAAATTCTTTCTGTAATTGATGTCAAATCTCCATTTAATCCCTAAGTATTTTAAGCATTGCATCCTTTAGACAAGTGCACACATTTATTGTTATCATTCCAATGATCCCCTCCTTTATTAGGAAAGTGTTTGCCTTAGTTTGTGGTGTTCCCTCTGAATGAGAATCAGCTGCTCTATCACAGGGTTCATAAACAGCTGACCCCGATTAACAAATTGAAGCAAATTCTTAGATATGTTGGAGGAAGAATAAACGCCGTCCACAATTGTCACCATTGGGAAAATGTGTAAAGAAAATAATTAGATTTTTATAACATTTGCTTTGAGTTTAGAACAAAATGAATGATAACTGGAGCAAATTTAATATTTTGTTTAAAAATGTTTCTTTTTAGTTTATTTAATGGTGCCACAATTACTTATAGACCTTAGGGGAGATCCTTCTACCTGGAAATATCGAGATTTTCGGTTCACAAAGTTGTCAGCAATTACAAGTTGTCCAAATACTAACTGTTTGTTTGCAGAAAATGCCACAAAATGATCTTATAATGTTATTAAATGGATTTGCACTAAAGGCAACCAGATTTTTTCCCTCCATTATAAGAGAAACAAACAAGGTTGTGTTTCAATTTTTCTCTCCTGCATTTTGTCTAAGCAGGTTTCAGGTAAACAAGTAAACAAATCACACCAAACAACTGACTCTACTGTCCCAGAGGACGAACGGGCAGGTATTTTATTTGCATGGGACATTGGACCTTGAGAGGATCCCATGTGCTTTAAACAGCAGCTTTGAAACTTCAGGTGGCTCAACCGTGAGGCTGTAGAATTTAACCCTATAAAGGGGTTAAAAATATATTCCCAAAAAGTCTGCTTGAATCAGTTGAAACTTAGCTGCAGTTGCCCTAAAGAATACTGTATGCCCAGATGAAATTTCATGGGAGTTTGATCAACCAATAGGGCTTTAGGCGGAGTTGCGTTATTTAATTCCAATTTTTATTTATAATTTCATTGAGAAGTTTGAAGCTTAGTATGTGCTTTTTGCAACAAAGACTGAATCGTTTGGTTTAAATGAAAGAAACAGAAATCACATCATTGTGATTTCTGAATGTTAAGAAAAATAGAGGCTTTGTATAAAAAAACACATTTCATTACGTGTGCTTGGTATTACTTTAATTAGCTGATAAGACATGAAGATTCTGTAAAGTTCAAATGAGGCCACAGATCAACAGCAAAGACTGCAGCACATTCTGTACAATATGAAGAAAAAAAACAACTATAATCTGGGAAACTTGAATTCACATTACACACTTCACATCACAAATAATCAAATCAGTGAAATCTGTTTGAAGATTAAACAGTCACAATATACAATATTAAAAAAACAACTGTTCTGTAAACAAATGTTGGGATATCTTAACTTCTTAACGTCAGCTTCACATTCGAAGAATACAAAATATATCAAAAGTGAGAGTACATAAAATAAAACACCAAAACATGAATATAGCGCGTTTTTAGATTCCATATGTCTCAACAGGTTTCTGTGTTGGGTACAACTTTGTTTCTCATGCACAAAGTCTGTACAATAATTACAGTTTAAGCAGCTTTATTTTTTAGTCTCTCATAAATAGCAAAAGATTTTTCACTAATAGTTTCAGGGTAGATTAAAAAGCTGGAGGGAAATTCTGACAGAAGAAACTAAACCCACACATAAACTTTTAGGCTTCATTCTTAGCAATATAAGGTAACACAATTTTATTCATAAAAATCTTCATTTCTTTTATGTTGAATTAATACATTATGCAGCTTATTAGAAAGGAAACAAACAGAATATACCCTGTAAAAAGCAGGAAACTTCACTGCAATTTAATATTTAATTGGATTGAATATTACAAGGAAACACAGAATATTACAAAAACATGAAGTTAAAATGAAGATGATATACTGTTTGTATAACATAAAAAACTAATCTGAAAAGTGTGGTTTTCATCGATATTTAGTCCTTTTACACTGATACCCTGCATTCATGTAATCAGAGAAGATAAAAATTATATTTCATCAGTCGACAAAAAGATTGATGTAGCTAATTGTAGGAGTGTGGTGCGGAGGTTCACCTTTTTATTAACTAATTTTCATTTTTATTGCGATTTGAATTACTTGCATGAATTAATTTTTTTCTTTAATGGGAGGGTTTGTAAACTTTCAAGCACAACTGTATTTATAGATTTATAGTCCCTCAGTGAGTTCTGGGCCTTCTCTTTGGGTCCCTCCACGGTTGGACCTACGAGAAGACCTACAGAGAGAGGTGACCACCCATACTAATTTATCTGACTCCCTTTAATGCAGAGCTCTACTTTAACCTCTCCAAGATCATGGAGGTCTCCTCTCCCTGCAGAGGAATCTGATTTCCAACCTAAAGTTACACAGACTGGTAAATTAAGAGCTTTGCTTTTAGGCTCTGCTCTTGCCTAACCACAAGAGACCTTCCTGAAATATAACAGCAGAGCTACAGTTTAATGCTTTAGATATCCCTCTCAGTGATACCCAGGCCAGTGATTGCTTTTAGGGAGTACTGCTAACAATGGCATTTCTTGAACAAATTTAATGAGGGAGCAGGGTGAGGGTAGTGTGTAGTGATGGCGGGAAAAGACATAAAAAAAATGAAACAAAAAAGATAGATTAAGTGAGCCAAAGAGCCGTTTGCAGCTCTGGAAACATCAGATCTAGCAGGTGAAAACTGTGATTCTATTTCAATATCATTGAAGCAAAAAGTTCAAGAACTTAAATTTTAAATTATCAATCAAATAAAACTGTAAGAAAAAAAAAATGGCCCAAGAGACATATCAGTTGTGGTTTCTGTTCCAGTGCATGTCATAATTTACTTCTCATGCATTTATTTCATATTAAGTCTTTAGTACAGGTGCCAGGACCAGTTCTACAGATGCACTGGCCCCTGTTGGCTTCTGTCTCATGACCCAACCCAATTAGCTCAAACCAGCTGCAAATTTTGCAAAACTTTAGTATTGTCTGAGAGACATGGCAACAGACCAGTCCAAATGACACCAAAAATCAAATAAAGCAGTGTTTATATAAACTACATTTTACTGCTTGGACTCACTACCTTTTATCTGCACGGCAACCTTGGAGTAGATTTACAGCATCATTAAATGGATAAGAATGTTTCAGTTCTGCTTTTTATGACACAACACAATAAGCTAGTAAAGTCCAACTCTGCCTTGATGGTGATATTAAAAAATGGTGAACCTCTGGTTTAGCCTCATAGGAGCTTAATACAAATACATACCAACGTTTTTCATTTAAGAATGTTAAAAAACAGTTGGTTTGTCTTCCATTTTGCCATTATGGATTACTCTATGTTGATCTATCAAATACATTTGCAGCAAAATACATTTTGGTTTGTATTTGCAATCTAGGGCTGGGAGTACTTATACAAAATACTGTTCATCAGTCTTTTTCATTTTAGTAACAGGGAATGATTCTAACGCTGCACCAGTAAAGTGCAGCCTCACTCATGTACACAAACACGTTATAAATCAGTGACTAAACAAATAGTAAGATGTTGCTTCAGCCCCCAGGTTTAGCAGTTTTATCCAGCCTGAAATGTAAAACGTTGTGTGTTCTGGTAAGCCTGGCTGCAGAGGAATGTTTGCAGAAGGAATTCTTTCTCTGTCCCTTTTAATTCAGTGGTATGGGCAAGATAAGTGCAGTCACAAGACTCTCATTGAAACATTCAGCGTGTCCAGTGTCTTTCTCGTGTTGATGACGTATGCGTTTATACCCTAAATAATAGTTTTACACCTCAAACTGAGCACTTAGCCAATCAAACACACGGTTTGACAGTTTATTTAAGCCTTGATAACGATGTACCCGAGCATGCATGGGCGTTCATGTACAGGAAAAAGACACAGATCAGCGGTCAGCCCACCGGAAAGCCTGGCATCCTGAAGGCATCCGGCAGAGGACTGTCGAGCTTGCAGATGATTTTATATATCCCTTTTTTCCAGCAGGGATCGCTGTCTCTCCCAGTCCATATGGCTGAGTAAAACTCTCTCAGAGCCACTTCGGACACCTCGATAAACCTCTCTGGAACCTGCAAAAAGAAACAAAACAGCAAAGTAAAACCCTAGTTTAGTAGATAAACAGTTTATTAAAGAAGATATCTGGCTTTAATATAAAAAGACCTAGATTTTACCAGTTAATAAAAATGAATGGAAATGCATAAAAACAAATAATAGATTTTTAAGATTTTTAAGTTAAAAAACGAAGAACACATCACTGTTTAGTAGCCTAGTATTGTTTCAGATCACTGAGGTCTGCAAATGTTTTTCTGCAAATCTCTCTCAATGTCCCAAAACAACAGCTGAATGGGACTGAGGTCTGGACTCACTCACCAAATGCAAACAAAAAGATTTTTACCAGAAAATAAACTGAAATTATCTCCAATGTTTTTTTTTTTTTTTTAGTTATGCTCAGATTGCAATTTATGTAATTTTATTTAAAACTGTTAAGACGATTGGATTGAACTAACTATATATTTCTGTATATACATCTTCTTTTCATAAAGTGCCTTGAGACAATCGTTTTAAAGAATTTGGCAATAATTATAGACTGATTTATTCTAAATTAATAGGCTAAATACTCTTCAGCTATTTTTCTTATTTCTGTTATAACATGTTCAAATTATTGTGCATCATTTGCTACGATTTACTGTAAGCGGTGCAGCTTTTCCAAATTTTAAGATGGTTCAAAAGAAAAAATAACCCCCCTTTTAGATTTTTCTACAAAGAAAAACACGATATTTTTCATTGTGATTCTGAAATTCTATTCGTTGTACTTTTAAATGCCAGCCTGATTGGATGTAAAGCTGTACAAGGATACTCTGTTTATAGCAGCGTGTTTCAGACAAATTAAACATGAAATTTCAAATTGCTCCTGTCATTTGGATGTAAATGTAGTGCACTGCTACTAACTATTATTGGTAAAGAGAAGATAAAAAATATGTTTTCTTAGTTTGGGGATTGTGCCAGAAAGGACGGGTAAAGGGAGTGCTATTGACACAATCCTGTACTTTATAACACCAGTGACTGTATAAATACACAGTTCTGGTTTGAAGTTAACAGTTCATATCCAGTCAAAGGCCATAGTAGTTTTAAGTTTTTAAAGAATATATTTTAACTGTGTTTTTTTTTTCATAGTAGAATTATTAAACAGTCCATTTTATAAAATGGCTTTTAAAAACAACTATCCGAAGCAAAGGTTTGAACACATTGAGCATTTTTTTTTTATTCACACAGTTAAAAATATAACAATATTTATGTATATACCCCACTATCAATTGGAAAAAATATTACTTAAAATGTAGAGGAAAAACTGCGCAAGCTTCTAATACAGACTATATGCTGGCTCTTCTTCT